TACACACACACACACACACACACACACACACACACACACACACACATACATAAAACAAACACAAAATCAAATCTGCGAGGAAGGGATTACTAAAGAACAAAAACAAAAAACAAAAAAACAAAAACGAAACAAAGAAAAGAAAAAAAAGTCGCTAAACCTCGTTCTTGTACCAGCCCAGCACAGCTAGAGCTATCAAATGTCAGAGCTCAACAAAAGGCCCAGTCCAGACATAGTCCGCTCGGCTGATTGCCATATTGGCGAGATCTGACAGATTAGAAACGGCTTTTGACACACCATACAACGATTAATCTTCAACCTTTATCTCCCATATATTCTTTGTTATTGTTTGAAATCTTCTGTCCGTTCAGTTCGCGACTGATTCACAATTGTGCCAGGCTGATCGGATAAGGATCACGTTACCTCCTGAGAGTCTGTTTTTGTTCTATTCCGTCGACGTTTTCATTGTTTCGCCCCAGAGATATATAATATTTGATTTATCGTTGTCATCATTATCATTGCTATTAGCGGTAATGTTTTAACCGAAGGACAAAGCGTTCTTTTCGATTATTTCATTTCCTAATTACCATAAAGATAGCGGGGCACGTATAAATGGTATTCTGGCCAGATTTACTTTGTTATGAGTCCTTGTTTTGATTTCTTATCGATTCGTGGTCTGCTGCCCCCCCCCCCTCGCTTCTCCCTCTGCCTATCCCCCTCTCCCCCTCTTCCCGTTCCCTCTCTTCCTACTCCGCGCTTCTCTCAGAGACAGAGCTCTCAGAGACAGAGACAGAGACAGAGACAGAGAGACGTATAGGGTAAGAGAGAGGTGATCTGTATATTTTGAGTCACAGCGTGCACGGTTCCACGGGTCCGATATATCTGGATTTTTTTCTTTTTAGAAGCAATTCTCATCGCTGGTATGAGGATTGAGGTATACAGTTCTAAAATATTGATATTAGGCTATAACGACAGGACCTTCGATAAATCCAGCCCTTCGGTAAAAGAGCCACAAACCACAAGCTGATGTGTCAGTCGTAGTTCTGAGGGCCCGACGAGCTGATGCCAATCTCGATATTTTAGTTCACCTTGAGATTCCTGTGAGATCCAACACCGACCTGGCATATGTCATAAACAGTTGTCTCGACTACTTGTCAATGCTCGGCAGAATTAGAGAGGTCAGTGACCACTAGACGTCTGTTGATGACCACCACAGTGAGGCCTCGCGGGGGATCATGGAACTGATGCCTGACGTCTGACTGCGTTGTTGGCCAGACAAATGTTACACATCTTTTTCTTCATTATCCGTAGTTTTGTAAAAAATCTTTTAAAAATTAAGTAATTCTTTTGATTAATCCTTTAAAAAAAACCCAGTTCAATCTGATACTTTCGACCTTGAACTTGAAAAACTAACGTGTCGGGTACAAAGGTAACAGTCGATTTTTAAAAAACAATTAATTCAGTCTTATTGTTACAAAATTATTGTAGCTCTGGCCCCTTCCATGAAGGATAATCTGGCTACAATCCAACGAATCCGATTGGCAGTGTGCAGCTTCACCATCATTGCCTTTCTCACCATGCACCAGGGTGTAGGCTACGGACAAACGCGTTCCACCTTTTCCTATCCTGGGCTAGCCTCATGATGTTATTCCA